AATAGTGAGATATAACAAGATAGTTCCTTACAACTTTGTCCATTGACAAAAGGCTTTTCAGCCAAGAATTGTGCCGCAAGGAGAAGAAAATAGATCGTCCCCACCATGTTGCTGCAATTTGTGCTTATTACAGCTAATGGTGGGGCTGTTTTTTATAGTCGTTCCTGTGCAAACAATTTAGCAAAATTATTAATTGCATTGAGTTGTTAAAATAAACACAGCAAACCTGTTGATGTTTTTTATTGGGGCTTATTATGTCAGCTTTGCTATTAGGTGATTGGTTTTAATCGTAAAGATTCGTCTGCAGAGGTGTATATAGTGAAAAAATGTTTCAAAGTTACTTTAACTTATAATGCTGTCTTTTCTTTAGATTATTAGTTATGTTTTTAGCTTGTTAATGTTTGTATTCAGTTTTAATGATGCAATGTTTCTTGGGCTATGTTATATGCCGAATCTCGCGCCAATTACTCCAGTATTCTCATAATTTCATTTGCTTTAACTKTTAGCACATGGGAGATGCGATGTTGGCTCACGCTAAGGTCGTTCTAACCCAGTACACAGTATAAATATAATCGGTACATGAAAATGTAATTAGTAAAGTTTTAAAGGGGTGAGCTACGAATGATGGAGGACATTTTTCATTGCCATCACCATCACCTCGTTAACTTCAATTCTGGGTAAAAATACCAAAATAGGCTCAATACTCAGCTCTCAACTCCTTCTGTGAAAACAGATTCTGAGCCTTCGATATAATTTTATTTGATAAACTGGTTCCCGTTAACTTCGGTATAAGACATATTACAAAGTACTGTGTAATTCAAGTTCATCTTTGTTTGCATGAAAAAAGGCCAATAATAGGCTAATAACTTTTATTCTATTTTTTATTTAATTATTATTATTTTTTATATTTTTTTCTTTGATGCGTTTATCTGATTTTTGGAGTTATAAGAATTCAAAATGACGACGATTTTTCAAGTTCTTCAARAAATCTGATTAGAAATGATTGATGACAGCTTGATAAATAACGGGGAAACACTGCTGTCTTTGTTAAACAGGGTGTTAACAGTACTTTAGGATTTTCTTTGAATTTATATGTTTTATTGACAAAGATCAGAGTCATTAAAAGATGTGGAGCTGCAAAATCACTAAATGAACTGAATCCGTTCTTTTAGTACTGTAATTATTATTGATTTTTTTTTTTATTTAGCAAATTTCTGTATTTATTTTATAGAACTATAATAAACCCTTTATAAATCAAACAATGTTCAAATTAAGTCATGTAATTACCGTGGTCTTGATGAAGTATTCTGTAAACAGACCGTCCCTCAAGTGGACCATATTTGGAGGTCACTGACACGATATCTAGCACCAGCTTTGAGGTTTGCGAAGCGTTAATTGACAAACTGCAACAGATGAACTAACATTATTAGTCAGAAAAAAAAATCATGGCAAAATGAAAATAGTGTGAGGGAGTCTTAAAAGGTTTGTTTGGATATCTTTAAATGAGTCATTCTTAATCTAATCAAACTTTATACGCGTTGGCGTGATATTTTTTTTGGCGAAAATACGAAAAACAACGACATGACGTTCCTTGAGGGACTTAAGTTTGAGTTTTTAATCAGACCATCCAAAATACCAGTTATTTTGTCTAAGAAAATCAAATTGCTCATAATATTATTATAATGTTACAAAATAATTTATATTTAGGGGAGCAYATGGAAGTATCTTGACCAATATTATTTTGAAAACATTGAAACGTTATACCTGATTCATTTTTTTTTGTTGGTTGTCAGCGGGAAGTACTCTAGAAAAATAAGGTTAAACATAGTGACTCAAGATGTGGAAGAGTCACAGTCTTATTAGTTTTATATATAGCACTACATCCAAAATGTTTGAAACAGTGATCGTTAAACTATAACAGAGTTTGATTTCTACTTTTCAACTCTATCATTTCTTTTATTCTGTTCCAAGTGACTCGACTTGCAGTTTTAACAACTCTTGTGTCCACTCTTGTGTCCATCGATTTTTTTTCGCCGATTTATCTGGTGAAACATCATTTCTCCGGTGTACTGAGACTTTGTTTTGAAGGATCTTCAATTAGTATATGTAATGTAATGTTGTGTATATCCAGCCCATTACACTTACTGTCCCATCTTGGCTGACAAGTTAAGTCAAGTTATTTTCTACTTGTCCTCTCTATTTTAACACTTAAAATCACGACGAGTTTGTTTGTATTAGCCATGCAATCACTGACGCGGCGTGTCTTTTGCTGTGCCTCCCCCAAGCCTATGCAGGATAAGGAAGGTAGTAGGGAGAGATGAAACCTTGATGTCCTTATCCGTGAGGAAGTAAAGACTCGCAGCCTTCTACGAACGATTATCGAACTTTGTGTGGAACAAATTAAAGATCTATAATTCCATGTCAAAATGTAGATTTTAAATTGTATTAAACAGATTATAATTGTAAGCCGCGCGATTTAACAATTAGAATAATTGTTGAACGGATAAGTCGCGCAGTAACGCTCTCGATTCAAGATAATGTAAACTTCTGTTGGGCATTACAGAATGCATCACTGATATCATAAAACCTCGGATTTGCTGTCTTTCAGACGTGATTCTATATGTCTTGAAGCGCTATGATGAATTCTCGACGTATTTATATCCACGAGTTATCTAAATCTGTCCATAAGTCCTATATATTTGCATTTACTATCGCATGGTCCACAACGGGTACCGGTTTGTGAACAGTGTTCTAGAGAAACTGTCAACAACTTCTTATTGYTGGATTGTACTCTTTATTTTCAAGCACTTTATTTTGTAACTAAACAATATCGTTAAGCGCTAAAACATTGATATAGTTGATATACCATTTTAGGTTGAGGTGAAATGTGAAACCGAAAAAAAGACTRCGATGAATTATTCACAGACAATTGCCCTGCTTTTATGCTTGGGTTACCTTACGCTCTCCCAAGGTAAGATTGCATATTGTAAATATTATTGTGTTTTCGTGGTTGTTTGTGAAGTTTGGTGTACACTGAAATAGTTGTCTTATCGCTTTCTTGAGACATCATTTCTTAATTCTACACAGCGTGCTATAAACATTAGGATTCTAGTACACACTTAACTATTCGGTTGCCGACGTTAGTCTTGATCTAATTGACGTACAGTTCAACGCATTTTTCACCAATAACTTTTCTCGCTATTTTCAGCAAAACCAACTGGTATAGTCAAAGCAGMTACTTCGAAAGCTTCACATCCAACAGTGAAAAAATCTAGCATTCACCACCACACGAGGAATAACCACTATCATGGGAAATCACACAAAAGACATTTAAGAAAAAAGAAACAGTTTATCATGGGAGGTCTTGCTGGAGGATTACCCGGTTACGGTATGCCAGACTACAGTGCATTAGCATCAATGAGTAATCCTCAAGCTTACGGYTACACCCCGTCACCTAGTGTCGACCCCACTTATGGACTTGCAGCGTTAGGGGGAGGTGCACAACCTGGTTTAATGAGTAACAGCATACAGGATCCTAATAGCGGTGTTCTACAGTCACGACAGAGCTTATTTAACAGTTTCACAGGAGCTCCTGATCAAGGGCTAACTTCTTATAACAATAATGGATACGGTAGCTATGCCAACGGTGGTCTCCAGGATACGGGTTCTCTGCAGAGCAGTGTTCCCTCTTTAGCGGGCTATGATCAAAAYGGATTGAGCAGTAGCCTTAGCAACGCTATGGCAGCTGGTCTTGGTAACGSATATGGCAACGCCGGTCTTGGAAACGCTTTTAGCAATGGTATCAATTCGTACGCCGGAAATGACGCAAATCAAATGGCCAGTTTAGGTGGGTTGAATTCTTTTTCTCCAACTGTCAATCAGGCGTCGAATCTTATGGGTACTGGTGGAAGTAATCTGATGAGTAATGCTGGTAGCAATCTCATGGGCAGTACTGGTAGTAGCAATCTCATGGGCAGTACTGGTAGCAATCTCATGGGCAGTACTGGTAGCAATCTCATGGGAAGTACTGGTAGCAATCTCATGGGAAGTACTGGTAGTAATCTCATGGGCAGTACTGGTAACAATCTCATGGACAATACTGGGAGTAATCTCATGGGCAATCCTGGGACTAATAAATATGCCGCTGATTCGCTGAGCGCAGGCCTCGACACACCCAACGGTATTGCCAACATTGCAAACCTTTTAAACAGTGCGCAAACATCGTTTGACTCAGACGGTCAAGGGCAATTACCCAACAATGCAATCAGCAATGCTGATATGAATAAGTTTGCACAACGTTTTGGCAGTCAACCCACAACAAGTCAGTCAAGTCTTGGAATTCCAGGTCTTACGCAAGGGTCCAGTGCAGCAGCCGCCGAGGCGCARTCGTTTGAAAATCAGCTCAGTCATTTGTCGAACGATAAATTGAAGCTGGGTGGAAACACACATGCTAGTGAGTAGTGAATATAGCTAAATCATTCTTTTTTTGATATTTTACTTATGTATTCTCATTTCCTTCTTTTCCGTTTATTCTCTTTTATTCGATTTAATAAACTTTAATGCTACTTGCCAAGATTTAAAACCAACGGTGATCAAACGTTCGAGAACATCTCATCTCTTCCTTTTTCCTCCTCATTCTTTCCTTTTHTCCGTATCTTTTTGTCTATTTTTCGTATGTCATTCCTTAGATGTTGTATCAGTTTTCTAATTTCAACATGTTGCTCTAGATTATGCTAACTTTGCCGATAATATCGATCCAAACAACTTGAATGAAATTGGTCAGATCGCTAGTACTGGGATATCCGACAACAATCTACARAGACTCCTTGGTCAGTTGATTAACGGACAATTTGGACATGCACATCATGCAAATCCGAGTCAATCTGCTGGGGTAGGGGGATTACCAAGTGATTCCCAGTCGACTGGGACGTACGACACGGGAAACCCACAGGTACTCTTTATTTATATAGGGCCGAACCATCGAACTGCTTTTCTATTAATTTTTGTAGATTCCACTTATAGTTTAAATTTTTAAGGACTTAAAACCGTACACATACTCTTTGTAACTGAATATCCCCATCAACAATCAAGATGTTCATGATATCCATATCAAAGAAAACAGCTTTGGTATCTACTATTTGGGGCCTTCTCTTATTTCACCTCGCTCCCGCCCATCCCTCCACCCCACCCTGGTTGTGCTTGGTATCCTAGATTTCTACAACAGTCTAAAAAGATTCCTCTATAAATGGAACAAATCTGAAATAATGCTTTTCAAGCTCATGATATCTTGTATCATTTCCTTGCATATATTTTTAGGGACAAATAGAAGACCAAGCAGGGTACTCTAGTCCATTAATAGCTCCAGTAATACACGGTCAAACAATCAGAGTCCATGCCAGTGATAAACCACGATACCACTTAGCTGACAAGGGAGGACACGCATCTGCTTCCAAGACAGCACTTAACGTTCAAAGACAGGCTACCCAGGAACATAAAGAAAAGTTAGAGCAATTGAAGGAAAAGTTGAAAATGCTGCGACAGAAACTTCATAGATTGAAACAAGAATACAACGATGATCCCTACGACGGTGAGTATTTTTGGTAATGGCTACAAAGGAGTCACAAAATATAGGGACTTCTTGGGTACTAGGTCTCAGRAGGAGACTCCCACCCCTTGCGCCCACTAGCTGGAGCTGCTGGTAGATCTTCAGCTCTCTTGGAACGAATTCTCTGATTGGCTATGTCGTTCTTAAAAGGACAATGACACTTTATCTTTTGTTTTCTTCTTTTGTTTTTGAACAAGCCTATTGGATTACATYTTCCGAGGGGTGAAATCCTACCCGGATCTGCCAGGATCCACTGATCTGATCCACTTCTGCTTGTACCCCAAAAGAAAAATGTGACAACTGATCGTTCTCKCAAAACTGGGCACCAAGTTTACTAAATCATTAAAACCAACACCGTGACTGAAKAAAAGTGACTTTCTCAATTGATTGATCTATTTCTTTTCTCAGACTATACGGATAGTGACAATGATTTTGGATCAGATCTCTCTGAAAAGTCTGAGACGGAAACTCTGGATTACTTGAAGTCTGCAACTGAAAARGCCCTAAAAGAACTGAAACAAGAAATGGCTAAAGTCAAAGCAAAAGGTAGATCATCCTCGTGGTGATCAAACTGAAAAAAGAGCAATAGTAAAGGACTTGTGTTGTTCTTTTCTAGGGAAAAAAGTGATATTTATTCATAAGTTTTCACCACAATCAACTTCTGATGTGAGCGCCAAGAAAAAAGGCGATCAGACAATTGCAGAACTTGAGASAGAAATGCTAGAACTGATCGACGACGATCATCGCATCATCAATAATGAACTTAACAAGAAACATAGAAAACATCGCCCAAACAACCGTCAAGTATCCCTAACAGAACTTGACAAACAGGCCGAACAAGAAGTTAATTACCTTACCAGCAAAAATCCAAAAGGTTGGTAGCATAATTTGTTGAGCCCCTGACTTTTTTCTATTCACAATTCTCGAGATTCATTTGGAACTGTAGTCGTTTTTTTCCCGGACCTTCTCAACCTAACCAAGGGGTTGTGTGTTTGGGCATAACCTAAGCATCAGGCCTTCTCTTTTTTCCCCTCCTTTTTTTTCCAGAGAGACTGTAATTTTCAGGGAGTTGATACCAAGACACCAGAAACCTCCTTAACAGGAGTAGATTTAGCTCAACCAATTTTAACAGCCCCTGTGGGAGTAATTTTGACTCCTCTTCTAATAAGAGTAACTTTAACTCCATTGGTGGAGTTTTTTCAACTCCTTGAATATATCAGTGTGCCAACATCATTACCATCATTAATCATTTTACGTCCATTTTGTTCACAGTTGTAAGGAAAAAACATCATCGGAAAACACATAACCTTCGTAAGTGAAGACTATGAAGACTGATGGGGGAGGGAATGGCATTGTATGAGTAAAGGACGGAGGAACAGTAGAAGACGGATCTAATCTCATTAAACTCGGCGAATATATGTTAAAAAATAACTTTCAAATAAATCGTTTCGCGTTTAGCCCATGTAGAGTAGAGTAGTTGTAGAATCCACACGAACGATGTCACTTATGTTTGATGACGTTTGTATCATTTCATAGTATTCAGCTCACCAAACGCTGGACTTCATATCCATATACCAGGTAGAAAAGTTTACTTTGACTGCATGTTTGCTGTCTGTAATCTCGTAGTCTTTTCTCGATGGTCTCTGGACGTGTCAAGGCAGTAGGTGCAGATATGTTCTTAGTAGGACGAGTAGGGTATAAAACCAGACGCTCTTAGATGCTTGTAGACTAGTAGCGCTTAGTAGGATGAGTAGGGTATAGAAACACTTGTAGACGCTCTTCGACGCTTGTAGACTAGTAGCGCTTACTTTGGATGCATGAACAATAATGAAAAAAACGAGCTGTAAGGATGCCCGCTTTCATGAACGCACAGCTAATAGTGATCGATTTTATTTATTTATTTTTTCCTGAAATTATTTTATCATAGAACCGGTTGAAGAAGGAGAAGTGCTTTCACGAGATAGAAAGCCTTCATTCCCACACGGTTAGTTATCTTAGTAGTGATCAACTGAAAGAACACATGCAGAGCAAATACTAGTTAGGTCGCCATGTTTGAAGCGTTTTTTACTATCCAACAAAGAATACGCCAAATTTGAATCCAAAATAATTTTTATCGTCCTTTTTTGCTTTTCTCGATCGCGACCCTCGAAGTAGGTTATTTGCAGTTGCTGGTCTCCTCAGCTGTATGCTTATAAACTATTTACAGAGGGTTAATGGGGCTGTCTCAATGTCGGTAGTCAGTTAAAATTTCAAGCATTTGTCGCTAGTCAGTTAAAATTCTAGGCATTTGTCGGTAGTCGGTTATTTAAAAAAAGTTGATAAACATTAAGTTTAAATGCATCTAAAACGGTGCTTTATACCAACAGAATTCTTTCTAAAATGCCAACAATTGAATCCTTGAGTCTTGATTGGTCAATTAGGTGCCCTTAAAGCTTTAGAGTGGCTCATCACAACTTCAAGAAGCCAATCCGAAGCAAAATTTATTTTTTCCGCGGAAAATTTCGAATGTAGTTGCTTGAAAAATAAAAAAAACTTGTATTCACGGAGCTAACATCTTTGAATATTGGAAAATGTCGCCAGTCAGTAAATTTGTTAATGTCGGTTGTCAGCAAATTTGGTTCAAATTTGTCGCTAGTCAGTAGTTATTTTGTCCATTTGTCGCTAGTCGGTTAACCCCATTCAGACCCTGCATTTATATTTCTGTTCTTCCTACTTATCCCACAAACTGAGAAACTATATAACAAATAGAGTGCAGGTTTTCGTAAAACCGTGAAACAAATTGTAATTACGTGTGATATATCGAAACGTTTAACGTGCAAAATAAAAAGTAATTCATAGTATTTCACGGATTAATARTAAAAACCATTTTAATATTTTGCACTGTGTACAGACGATTTAGCGGACAAGTTGAAACAAAAACAAAGATCATCTGAAGAACACGCGTCCAGCGACAGCGGGTCAAAGCATCCCTCAGATGATCTAGGTGGCATCGAAAAACTACTCAATAGTAAGTCATCGATATGCACCTATTTCAAGAATGGTTGTCGGAAAAATGGCGAATATCAATTGTGAAGTGGCGATTGCACGACCGAAAGGAGTCATGGGTTCTACTAATTGATGGGAAATAATAGAGAGTTTTAGCATCACGTTGACGGCAAACGGCAAACGGCAGAGCTGAACCAATGACATAAGAATTTCGTGCCCAACCTTGTGCTTTTGGTAGTCATTTGAAAGAGAGGCTTTTCACGATTATGGCAACCTCAAAATAACCCGCTCTCGCGTTGAAACTGCAACGTTAAACTCAAAAAATATTTTCTGCCGTTTGGCGTTTGCCGTGAACGTCATGCTAAACCTCTCTAATAACTGATTTATACTGTAAGATAAGATTTTCAATGAGCAAAGTGAAATTTTGAAAGTTTAACAGCGTAACCATGGTCCCATGGTCATGAAATCGCCGTCCGCCGTTGTCCCCAACAACATATTTTAAAATAGTGGAACTGATAATTTAAAGTTTATCGACTTTGAAAACGTAGTTGAGTTTATAAAGGACGTAATACCCATGAAGACAGGCAATCCTCTGTTTGAGCTCAGCCTGACGACTTAAGGGCATTCTACACAATTTTACTTAGCAGTGATTTTTAAGTACATGTCATTCACCAGATGCATGATGGTCTTTTTTATGTTCGTTTACAGAGCATCATCAAGAACAAGCCTCCAACAACAACACAACTAGAGARAAACACTCTTTAGGTAGGCATTCATCAGTCATTGTTTGATTTATAAGCTATTTGTCTCTTTTGCTCATGAAGACCTTTTACGACGTTTTGCTCAGAATGCACGACCGAAAGGTTCTATGGGAATTGCTTGGAAGAAATTCACCTTTCAAGAGTTATAATGCTTGTCTATCTTTTTCAACAGTACATAAATGTTAACCAATAATTTATCAATACCCACAATGATTTTTGGTTGTGCATTCTATTGTCATTAATTCAAAGTCGAGTGAATCCATTAAACCCGTGAAACAAAATTTGACTATTAAAGTGTGATAGTCAAATAGACACAAAAGAGAACAATGCAATTAGAGAGTACTAAGGTGTATAAGTGTAATATCTATTTCACGGATCTTTTGACTTTACTCTATCTAAACTACAACAGGGTTCTTTAGCATTGGTTGTTGGCGAGATCAACCAGAGAGAGCTCTAATGAGCCTGGAGGGAATCTTCCCGATACTCGACGGAAACGATTACATGCGGCGTAARTACGCCATCAGGAAATGTGCCCAGGTTGCGCGCGTACAAGGATTCTCGGCTTTTGCTGTTGAAAATGGCGGCCATTGTTTGGGAGATAAGAACGTGTTGCAGACGTACTCGATGTACGGTCCATCCAAAGGATGTAAATCCGATGGCAAAGGTGGACCATGGAGTATGGAAGTTTATAAGTTCACCAGTAAGTATAAATAAATTATGACATTTTTAACTGGATATTTCGAAATTTTTACAATGGATACAAAAAAATCAAAAAGAAGGTTGAGAAACAATCACAAAGGCAAGGAAAGCGAAGTAAGTTATGTAAAACTCAATTAAAAAAATAAATTATGATGTAGGAAAAACAAACAAGCTGTACAAGCCGTCGAGCAAGAAAACAAAATAGTCTAACAAACATGCATGTAAACCTTGACAAAAACGCAGTACAAGTTTATTTTGTTTTGTTTATTGATAATGAAAACCAACTGTTGTTGTTTTTTTTTGTCATCAGCATCATCAGCACAGCGTAAAACGCGCAGGGGAGACATTCTGAGAGCCATTGGTCCTGAATACATTTTTTACAAAGGAACAAATGGACTGAGAAAAAAGGGTTAACGTAAACTACTTGATCTGAAGTACATTGTATAGTTGATCGATTGATTTTTGTCATTAATCACCATATAAAGATACTGAATAACCGTGGAAAAAATGTAAACTGTTTTGTCTCGAAAAGAAGAAACACCGGTTAGTTTATCAAACTGAACAAATGACATTGCTCCATATGCTTTATTTTGATTATTAGAATCGACAAATKATAAAAATTGTAACTCGGGCGAATAGTCTATTTGCAAGATACCAAGCCAAATCAAAACTGAATCTCAATAAATATATATATTTGTTTAAATGACGTTCTCAATAAAATTCTTGAATGTTTTGTAAAACTATTTACGCCATATTTTTATTACGGGCATAATTCCTTTTTTTTTAATGCGAAAAGTACGGCGGTCATTTTGGCGTTGCTTTGACAAAGSACACAAAAAAMCGCGCTTTTCRARCACTCAAATGTCCCGTATGTTCTGCCCCAGGCTCCGCGGTTAAGTAAATAATAATATKATCTAAAGCAGGTTGTTWGATTTTACCTGTTTTGAGGTCGTCAGCGAGAAGTGACCAAAAAGAACTGAACAATACACGATCGTGGTACATGAAAGCCAATATAAAAATTAGACCATGGGCTGCCGTCAGATTTGGATTTTGAATGGTATTATTTTAATTATGTTATTTCCAGACGTTATCAAAGGTAAGTTATGTTGTTTTGAACCTTGCTTTAATAAAAATTTCAACCACCAAAATAAAACAAAACGATGTTTTCATACGCTTCGGCCCTGTTAATTGATAGAATTATAACTCAAACATGAACAAAAATTTTAAAGCATGTTGTTGCTAACATACATTTCTGGGGTGTTCATGAAAAAGGTGAACCCTGATTGGCTGTGCACTCTACTCTCTTAGAGTTATATAAAGCGCATTCTGATTGGCTGCGGTATTGTTTCAAGAGCGTATAGCTATAAAACGTGACTTGACTTAAAACTTTCTTTTAAAAAAGAAATGTGCAAAGGCTAATTCACCACTGATCTATCGTGAAAAGGGGAGGGGACCCTTATCCTCCCCTTTTTTTCCTCTCCCAGTCTCCCAAGAGCCGCTTAGCAGGCCAAATAATCATTATTTGATTTATCCTAGCTTGTCACAAGTGTGAATGCGACCCCGACGGTGCTTTATCGTCTTGCCAAACCTCGCAATGTACACCAAACCATGTACAACTTGTCAGCTCAACGAAATGCAGCAAAAAAGGACAACTCTGCTGTCGAATGATGTGCAATGGCGATAATTCCATGTGCATGCCAGATAGTACACCTTGTATGGAAGGACACACCTTAGTACCTAGCGGAACATGTAAACGAGGCTACAAATGCTGTCAATCCAATTCAAAAGCAATGATGATAAAAATCAACTTAAAGTGAGCCAATTCACCAGTCCAGCTTTGAAGGATAATTCTTATAGCATTTTACATAAAATGTGAAGGACGAATTCAAAACATTGGAAAGATCATCAGAATAAAACATGACCACCAAAATAAACCATCCAAACCATACATTTCCATGTAATTTTCGAACATTTTGAAGGTCCATTTCTTACATATTATTAATCCAAAAGCCACCAAACTTTGGAATCTTGTTTATTTTGTGGTGGTTTTTCCAATGATTTGATTAATTTTTTTATTAGGTTAATATAGATAACTAGTACCCAGTTTCCTGGTCGTTTAGGTAAAGAACCAATGTGAGATACAAAAAAACATCGCATGCATGCATAATTAAATTCCCGTGATTTGGAAATTTTCGTCACACGTTATCTGTCAGTTCTTTCAATAACAAAGGCATTCAAATCTCTAATTTGCAAGTTCATTAATTTTTGCCCAGAAACCAGTTCTGGCTAGTCGCGTTTCGTGAAACCCTGTCGACGACATCCTTTTGTCATTCGACTATATATACAACTAAATTCTTACAGTCAACTCTGAGAAAAGTTGCTTATAGCTGACAACCGATCTATGATTTTTA